TACTTTTGTATAATCTAATCCTAAACTTTGTCTTCTTAAAAGAAGCATGCTATTTCATGATGCACAGCTTCCCAACATGATTGGTGAAGCCTCATGTGTGCACAAGCAAATGTGGTGAAGAAAGCTGATGGTGCCTTGCTATCAAAAGATATAGTATCTGGGGTCTTAAAGGCTTAAAGATAAACAAGTGGCCATCTAGTTCAGAAGCAACAAAGCCCACATGGAAGAAACACACCAGCCTGTGTGACTACCAGGTGTCTAAGGCATCAGTATCAGGCATCGAAGAACAAAAAAATCATATCATTGTAAATGAGGGGGAGTTCAGATTGGGGACCCAAAGCCCATCTGTAGGTAACATCCCCTTACAGAAGGGTCACGGGGAGGAGATGAGCCATTCAGGGTGCAGTGTAGCAATGATGAAACATACAACGTTCCTCTAATTCTTAACATTCTACTTTACAAATCTGGCTAGACCAGAGGATGTACACTGGTACAGATAGGAACCGGAAACACAAGGAATCCAGGACAGATGATCCCTTCAGGACCAGTAGTGAGAGCGACAATACTGGAGGGTGGGGTAGAAAGGGAGAACCGATTACAAGGATGTACATATAACCTCCTTCCTGGGGGACGGACAACAGAAAAGTGGGTGAAGGGAGGGAGACGTCGGACAGTGTAAGATATGACAAAATAATAATTTATAAAGTATCAAGGCTTCATGAGGGAGTGGGGAGCAGGTAGGGAGGGGGAAAAATGAGGAGCTGAGACCAAGAGCTTAAGTAGAAAGCAAATGTTTTGAGAATCATGAGGGCAACAAGTGTACAAATGTGCTTGACATACAATGGGTGTATGGATGGATTGTGATGAGTTGTACTAGCCCCCAATAAAATGATTTTTTTTAAAAAAGAAGCATTCTATTAACATTTATTGCTCTTTAAAAAACTTGGGGCTATCCTTGCACTAATATCAAAATTAGGATGTTCACTAGCTTGTTTATATCACAGATAATTTTGATTGATGGGCAGAAAGGTTAAGGTCAGTGATGTTATCGTCTCTACAATAGAGTATTTATGAAATAATTTGTGAAGCATGTAAACTGTCCATGTCTTTTCTAACTCAAGTTTACATGAATTACAGGTTTGGGTACATATAATAAATACATTTTTTTTAAAGTTCTCTTTTGCCGAGTTCAGAGTAAATGAGACATATCACTCACAACCACCCAAAGACCTTACTAGTAACGGGGTTGTGATCTATTCAGAGGCACCTCAAAAGTCAGGCTTGGTTATCTACTTCCAAATATTGGTCATTGAAACCTCTCTGAAGCACAGTTCTACTCTGACACGCCTGGGGTAGCATGGAGGTAGAATGAACTGGATTTCAAGTGGAATGTGTGAGGTCTTAAAAAACTGATGGAAAATTACATTATCTTTCAAATCCATTTTTAAAACAAGTTTTTGAAGCCCCCTAATATATCAGTATCTTCAGTAAGAAAATCAGAAATGAAAAATATGAACATTTCCTTAGTAAAACTTAAAAATGTAAAATATTCAGTTTCTCTATATACGATTTTTTAAAGTCAGGGATACAATATTTTGATTACTTTTAAAGGAGTTTTTGTGATGCTAAGAACCAACTGACTCCTGTACCTGAAAAAGAATGACCAACAATCAGAGAAATATATTTAGATATACTCTACTACATTGCATTTGGAAAATTTCCATTTTAACTATAATTTAACAATTATTTGAAGAAGCTTGAACAAATATGCTATTCCGGGGAGCATGGTGATGCAAAAAGAATCGATAAAATAAGAATAGCTGAAGGCAAGATGCATTGGTGTTTATTATCATATTCTCCATTTGTGTGAATATGACACAATGAAAAATTATTTAAAAACATTCTCTTTCCTGAGCTTTGGTAAGGACACTCTGAGTCTGTGTTTAATCACAGAAGTAGAAAAACCATATTGTATTAGAGAGCCAATGTGACATTTTTCTAGAGAATTAATAATGCTGATGGAATCCACCACTTCCTCACTTCAGGAGGTGTGAAGAAGGAAATGAATTCCTCAAATGTTGAGCAGGCTGGGAAGTGACTTTCTAAAGTGACAGAATTCTGCATCTTTTATTCAATCTCTTTACCGATTGGAATTCTCACTGGTTGAGGGAAGCATCCTTTCCACTAACCATTCCCTCTTTCACTCTGCCTCTCCTTGATCACTTCTGCCAGTCCTCTTCTGTGCTAGAGCCAGGTGTGATGATTCAGGAGAGTCTGTTGCTCTAGTCTGCAAAGCACAGGCTGCAAGCATGGATTTGTTCATTTAACTCTCACCTGTACTGCTGTGGTATGTCAACTCTGATTTGGGTAATATAAAAAGAGAACCTGAAAGGATCAGTGGACTTTATATAATGAAAACATATTATTCCTCTCCACTGGGTTTCCTCTGCTGGGTTTCAAGGCACGGTGAATGTGCTCTTTGAAGTTTTATGGAGCTGACCTCATTTATTTTCTTCATAAGATCATGTCCCTGAACAAGGTCAGAAATTCCCACCCTTCTGGCAAATGTATTCTTTTCTGCAAACAAAAATGATCCTAAAAGACAAATGTAAAATCTTCATGCCATAGCTTGGGTGATGTGACAATAAATTGCAACATATCAGATGACATGTTACTAATGCCTTGCCTAGTCTTTGGCCCATAGAAAATACTAATTAGTGGCGTGTTTAACATATCATTTACTAGCATACTGAAAGGTGTCCTGGTGGCATAGAAAGTTATACATTGAGCAGGTAACCATAGAGTTAGAAGTTTGAAGCTATCAGTTACTCTGAAGGAGAAAGATGAGACTGTGTACCTGTAAAAATTTAGTCGATGAAACACAAAGGGGGCAATTTGAGTCAGAATCACTGAATGGTATGGGCTTGGGTCTGGTGTACCAATTTTCTTTCCTCTGAATAAGGAAAATTATAGAATTGGGAAACAAATTTTCTCTCAGCAAGGGAGTGCTGCACTTTCTAAAATAAGAATTGTATATAAACATTTAGGGAGACATTTTTCTTTTCATTGGAGGGTTACAAGACATCTTTATAATTCACCACAGAAAAATGTGTTGAAGATACATACAATTTTCAGGGTGGTGACTTGTGATGTCTGGTGATTCCATGGTTATAAATATGGTTATCAACTTGCTTGCTGGCGGTGTTAGATTCCAGTGAGTTGACTCCATGCACAATGAAGTGAGATCTTGGTGATCCAAAGGCTTTCCATTGGTTGCTTTCCGTAGATTAGCGGGCCTCTTTTGCTGTAGTAGAACTTCGATTCTAAGCACTAGGTTTGTGGAAGTCTAGGTTGTAGAAGTCTAAGGTTTACAGTGGGAGTCCTAAGTCTCAGATAAGTCTGCACATAAAGCCTTCATTGAGTTCTTTCTGACTGGCAGTGGAAACGGCTTTCCTTAGGCAGAGTATGTTTGCTGCCCCCTCTTCTGGCCAGCCAGGGCACTTGCCTGGGTATACTCTCGATTGAAATTGGGGTGCTAGGGTCCTCTGATTATGAGTCATCCCCCAACCAAGATGGTCTAAGGGCCTCAAAACTGTACAATTATCTAATTTGCAAGTGTATCTTTCATAGTTCCATAGTTCTGCCTGTGATGAATTGATCTGTTGTCAATCATGATGTTGTGACAAGTTCCTGTTTTCCAAAACCCAAACCGAAACTCACCGCCATAGAGTCGATACCAATTCATAGTGACTCTAGAGCACAGGGTAGAACTGCCCTGTGTGAATGTCTGAGAATGCAACTCTCTATGGCAGAAGAAAGCCCCATTTCTCTCCAGTGAAGTTGCTGGTGGTTTCGAACTGCTTATCTTGTGGATCACAGCTGAATGTGTAATCACTATGCTACATTCTATATAAACCTAGCTATTAAATATTTGGATACCATATGCCCTTATGCTGATGGTCTCCCTCATCCATACAATTCTTTCTTTCCTTCTTTCATTTTTGCACTTTTTAGGACTTTTAAAGGGATCTGTATAGAATATATTTTATATTTAGGGTTTTATCCTTCTAGAAATCTTCCTAGTAGGCTTTAGTCTGAAAGTGCCATTGATTCTGTTCAGCATCAGTTATATTTGGGTGGTGGCTGTGCATGAAGTGAATTGCCAAGAATTGAACCTGGGTCATCCACGTGTGAATATGCTAAGAATTCTACCACTGAAACGCCATCATTCTGAAACTGGGCAAGGGAGCAGAAGACAACTAGAACAGAGACAGAGATGAGAGTGGTTCTTTTGTATAACTGTGGGGAAAGATCACAGAGGAGTGCCTACAATTAGGGTTTCTTTTTTGTTTTGTTTTGAATTTTTTTTCCTCTTAATGGAATCTTTAAGCCATTTTACATAACTATTGGCTCAGAGACTGAGAACCGTCACCAAGTTGTGAACTATATTTTACCCCTAGGCCTATATTCCCCGGAACCCCGTGTTCCCTATGTCAGCTGTTGGGAACAGAGTATTTGAAATTCTCAAATCCTGCATGCCCCACAAAACCCAAACCAAACTCACTGCCATTGAGTGAATGATGTCTCATAGTGACTCCCACATGGGCTTCCAGACTGTAGCTCTTTATGGGACTAGAAAGGCCAGTTTCGAACTGCTGACCATGCAGACAGCAGTTCAATGCCACTATACTACCAGAGCTCCCCTCAGGAACTTTTAAATTCCCCCAGCACTCTTGCAAGCTTAGCTATTTTTGTCATTTGACCTCCCTAACTTTTAGATCATAGCATGAATTTCCTCCAGTGGGTATAATAAAATTTTCCATCTTTGCATACATTTTCTGACCATAATTCTTTCTCTTGATAAAAGAAACTAATTCCCATAACAATGAAAACTAGCTTAGAGATAAGAAAATCCGACAGTGTTCAGGTTTTCACTGCACCACAATGTTTAGAATCACCCTATGCCAACTTCAACATAACTGAAATAAAGAAAGCGCAAAGTTAGTTAAATAGTTTAATCAGAGCAGTTTTACAATTTAAAATTAACGAGCAGAGTTGTAATAAAAGAGCTCCAATGATTGCAAAATGACATTTCTCCATTCTGAATCTGACTTTTTTTTATATGTAATGATCAGCATTACATTTAAAAGGACTCAAAATGGAGTGATTTAAAGTATCATCTTTTTTTTATGCAACTGATGAAATCCCTGAATGGATATTGCTTCAGCTTTGATATTAAAATATGGCAGCCTGATGCGAAGTCCTTACCCAAGCACTGTTCACAGGTGGCCAAAGAAAAAGAAAAGGGGGGAAAAAAAGACTGTCAAGTTCAATATGTATCACATTGTTGGCTGATGACACTGGCTCCAAATATACAATTAAGCCCAAGTTACTTTATTACTATAATTATCATGAAAGTTCTCGCACATTGATCAACTTACTTCTGAAGGTTTTCTTGTTTAAACTTGCATAATAAACATGCAATGAATTATTTATGTTCAATGTGTATTTTTTCTGCAGTATTTTTGTGTTCCTACAAAGATTTCATAAAGTTGCAATCTTGCATCTGAGCATTACCAAAATAAGAGCAAAAGCACAGGGGAGGGTAAATGTGAATTAAGCTGAATGAGAAGAGGCCCCTCTTGTCCTGAGTCTTCACTCTTTGTAAAAAAGGTGCACACAAACCGCTTTCCGCACCCTCCCCATCAAAGAAAAGAATGAAGACATGAAAACAACTCACACAGTCGGTCTAAGGGGGAGAGGGGAGGGAAGTCTAATTAAAGAAAATAAACATTTTTTTCATGCACATTTCTTCTGCATAGCTCAACCCACAGATAGTAAGGCACTATTTCTCTTTGCAACTGGTGACCACAGCAGTATACTAAGTGCTCCAGTGCTCTGTGACCATTCGAGAGTTCCTTTCAGAATGATGAACTAAAAAGACCAGGAGAATGTGGAACCACGCTTCTTGGGAAATACAATCGTTCCAGAAGTTGTCCAGAATCTCAGAAGAAAATCTGTCTAGTAAAGTTGGATTATGACAGACAAATGTCCAGAATGGATTCATTTCCAGAGTTCCTCTTTTGTCTGTGTATGAATTTGGATTATTCTTCTGTTCCTGTTCCCAAAGTAAATACACAAGGTGAGGGTAAAGCTGCAGCCACACTTTCAGAAACAGCTGCAATGCTCCCCAAAAGCATGCAACCTTGGCTATTCACAAAATCAGGAAATATTTCTGAGTGAGAGGGAGGGAGTCTAGAGAAAGGAGAGAAGAGTTGGTTTCTAGAGGTGGAGGTCATTAGCATCTGAGTTTAGTTCAGCTGGTCTTCATATTGTTTCCTGAAACAATCCCCTGCTGGGAAAAATTCCCAGCACCTTTCTTGATACATCTTCCAGACATAAGATTCCTGTGAAAGGAAAGAAAATATATTAACAGTATGTCTTTCCCTACAATGTGTGCCACTATAAAATAACAGAAAGAAATTCAATTTTATTACAAGTATCTTATATGATTGAAGACAGCCGGACTTAGATCCTTCCTGACTACAAACCAACTGGGGTGGAGTCACCCCAGCTCACGGCAATCTCATGTGTGTCAGTATAGAAATGCATTCCATAGGGTTTTCTTCTCTTTTCTTTGTTTAGAAAAGATTTTATTAGGGCAGAATCCAGACGGTATATAATTCATATCAGTCATATCAAGAAGTGTTGTAAATTTGCTACTATAATCAGTTGTAAAACAGTTTCTTCCTTCTTGTATTCCTTCTTATTAGCTCTCCATTACCCCCCAAACTCCCCTGATGCACCCTGCCTAGGACTCCTTAGTAATGGAATGCATCCTAGTTAGGGTCTCTATAGACTCACCCATTCTGGGCTTCACAACCAAAACGCTTGGAAAAATATATAACAGAGTCAAAAAGGCTCCCAACAATAACAAAATACCATAGAGATCAATCCCAGGTTTAAAGAGAACAGAAGATATTGAAAACCAGAGAAAATTCAAAATTTGTCAAAAGGGAGATCAAGTGATAAGGTTTTAATCACTCAGATTTTTCATTTTAATCTACTAAAATCATCTCTACAACACTTTCTGTCTGATAACCAGGCTATTCCCTTCCCTCGACTATGGTTACAAAAAAATCACTGGAGGCTTATTTTATGTATGGATAATGAAGTATTTTGGACTTTACTGTTATCCTTAGCCTTTTGCAAACTAGAATTTCACTATTTAAGCTCTGATATAATTCCCCCATTCAGATTTGGGTTGTATTCTTTGCCATCCTTGGATTACTCAGACTAGCATGCTTCTTCCGTGTCGGCTTAGATTACTCAGACTAGCATGTTTCTTCTGTGTCGGCTTCTTTGACATCTCACTAAAATGACTGCTTATTTGAAAGCAAGCCTTTAAGACTCCAGACACTATTCTTTTTGATGGCTGGGAACTATCTAGTTTTCACCATATCCACCGGGTTTTCAATGGATGATTTTTCAGAACTAAAGCACTAGGCCTTTCTTCTGAGGGAACTCTGAGTGTACTAGAAACGCCAATTTTTTGCTGATCAGCTGAGCATATGAACAGTATATACCACCTATGGAGTCCCAACTAATTGTATCAGGCCTTACTTACTTCTAACAATAAACACACAAATAATGAATCTTCATTCTGACAATAATATAATAAACACAAGAATATCTTTTGTGTTATTTGTTTTTGAGGGTTCTTCTAAAATATTATTATTATTAGCTGTATTATAACTACCTCACATTAAACTCTTGCTGGAGTGGGGTCGATTTCAAATATATTTCTTTTTAACTGACAATACTACTGAACTGTAATTCAGTTAGAATCATCTGCTATCTATATGTACATGTTTGTGTGACATTATATGTCTATATGTCTATACGTACATGTTTGCGTGACATTATGTCTATTTGTACATGTTTGTGTGACATTATATGTCTATGCATACATGTTTGTGTGACATTATATGTCTATATGTACATGTTTGTGTGGCATTAGAATTATTTTCAACCAAAGCAAATTTTACACACTCACCCAAGAAGATATGAATTTTATAATATGATAACAAAATTAGGATATTGGAAGGTGATTCTTCCCAAAAGGATTAATGCACACATTTTGTTTCCTGTAAGAATTCTATTATTTCTTTCAGAGATGGAGCACTTATACACACTATTTACCTACCTGACCTGTGTGCTCTGTTTCATCTTTGTTTATGAGATACATCAGGAAAAACCTAAGGAGACAGAGAGACTTTTCAAAAACCGATGAAATAAAATAACCAGCTAAAAAGACAGGACAAGTTTTACATGTTCTGTGCCAGCACTCAGCTATAGTCAGCAAGAAAAACCAACACAAATGCTGAGCTATAGTTAATTAATATGGCCCTTCTAGCTATAATTCCTTATGTGATATATTTTATAAATTCTGGACTCTATAAACACATTTTGGAGAGATTTATCTGCTATGCTAATGAACAGGATTAAGGAGGGATATATCTATACAGTATACATCTTAGGGCCATCACTAGTCACTAGTGAGCATGGTTGAGATCTGTCTGAAGCTGCAAAGGCTGAGATCAGAGGTATTAGAGGCTGAGGCAAGGAAACCATGAGACAAAGTAGAGGAATAGTGTAGAGCCTGTTCCTTTAACGGCTGTGAGGCAAAGCAGCAGGCAGGCTTCCTGGCCCACAGAAGGAGAAGCCCTGGGAACAGTGACTGGCGGGAGGAGGACCAGGGAGGCACTTGGCTGCTGACTGAGGAGAAGTGCTGATGTGGACCAAGGACCATATCCTTACTGTTTACTGATCCTGATGTGTGGTAACTTATTAACTTCACTAATGAGCCTCACGATTTTGAGTTTTGTCTGTGAGTTCTGTGTGGCCTTTGCAATGAATTATATGAATGATCAAACCTAGCACAGAAGGAGAGTGCCCTGGGAAGAATGCTTGGTGTCAGCATAGGTAAAGGATGGAGGGTGGATGCATGTCTGACCATGCCTCATGATAATAGGGCAGCCAGCAGAGGTTGGATGTGGTGCCCCTCTTGCACCATTTTCACAAGTACATTTTTTTGAAAATTAATTACATCACACCAGAAACAGGTAAGGAGCTTTTTTTATTTGACTTCTGAGCTGTTGGCTGATTTTTACCTTGCAAACACTTCGGCTTCAGTTTAGAAATAGAAACTTGTTTTTCAGAAATGAATTGATGCTGATGCATTTAAAGTGAAGATGAACTTAATGAGTTCTAATGTCTTGATCAAGTTTCAATTAAGTATAGTTAAATCTATTTTAATTTTTTTCAATTTTCACTTTACCAGAAAATATGTTCATCAAAGTCTATTTTCCACAAAACATTTATGAATATTTGATAAAATTATTTTCTTTAACGTTTCCTGTCATCTTTTCCTAATGGCATTTCTACTGCTGTGAATAATTTTGGTGGCATTGATTCCTTGAAGTTTCTTTACTCCTGATTAGATATTTTGCATTTTCACTGGTTTGCTGTAGAAACACACTGAGGCATTAGTTAAAAGACTCGGATTTAAATGTATTTCTTCAGCTGGATCCTGAGGAAACGGCCGTAATAGCCTTCAGATGCTCTCAGATGCTCTACTGTGCTGAGTTGCCTGCCATCTTGCTGCTCCAATGTGTCCATATACTTCCCTTCATGGTATATGCTAATTGTTCACACTGTTGATGTAAAGGAATAGGTCCAAATTGCACAGCAAACATGCTGTGTGGATCATATGCTTCGGCTTGTTAGTAACTGAGTTTCAAAAAGAGATGAACTCTAAGCACAGAGCAAGTTCCCTCTGTTTGGAACTGCTGTACACCAGGCTCAGTGCAGCTGAACACACACCTCTGCACCATGTGAAAGGAGTCACATAATAAATAGGCTCAGATATCGAAAGGTAAAGTAATGTGTACAAAGTCACAAATCTGTCAATTCTAAAGCCCATTTGCTTATCTCTAATGCATCCCTCCATTTCTTCTGCTTAATATGAGATTCAGTCAAAACACAGGAAGAGCAGCATGGTGAGTGCTATGTAATACTTGGAACTTTACGTATTTTTAACAGGGCAACTTTTTATCGTGCTTCCACACACAAGTGTAACCTCAGTCCGTAAGAGCGTCTATTTCAGAGCGAAAGAGTGCTACCAGCTGTCAGTCTTGCAGAAGTTATCTGAAGCCGGAATGCCAATACAGAGAAAAAGAAGCCATGTCTCCTCATGTTTCCCAAGCCTCCTGAGCTGAAGGAGAACTCGTGAACGTGGGGAATGGCTCACACTTACAGGTAATTGGCCAAGTTGTGTTCCTGTAAAGTGTGGGTTTCAAAGCCATGTGGCACTGTGTCGAAGTAATCGTTGCCTATCCCACAGATGAAACATTTTGTCTAGAAGGCAAGGGAAAATAGAAAAGTGTCAGAGTTCACAAAACAAAAAAGGAAAACAGAACTCACACCTTAAACAAACCAGTTGTGGTGGAATCAATTCTAACTCTTTGTGATCCCATGTATATTAGCGCACGGCTGTGCCCCACAGGCTCTCCAATGCCTCATGTTTTAGAAGGAGACCCCCCACCTTTTTTCAGACACCACTGTTTGAACTCCAATGCTACACATTTGCTTTGTAGACAAGTTTGTGAACCATTTGCACTACCTATGGACTCCAGTCCACCACTTAATCAAAAATGCACCACCATTGCGCCAATTCTGACTTACAGAGACTCCAGAAGACAGAGTAGAACTGCCTTATAGAATCACCCCATGGATTTCAGAGACTATAACGCTTTACAGGAGTAGAAAGCCTCATCTTTTTCCAGTAGAACAGATGGTGGCTTCAAACTGCTGACCTTGCAATTAGCAGCCCAGTGCATAACCTATCGTACCAAAGCTAGCTGTTTTGCCTACTCAATACATGTGGATGAAAGGATAGTTGAGCCAAGAGTTAGATTTTGAATCTGTTTAGCTTCAGAAGTAGCAAACAGGATAACATAAATACTTGATAATTCTCCCAAAGTCATGAGTATAGCTTATCCGCCATCAGCAGTTGTTGATCAGTAAAGCAGGAATCATTTTGTGATCACCTTGATTCTAGGTCCCAGAATCAAGGGATCATAAACATACCTTGGTGGTGGTATAAGACAACTTGAGTTGCAGGGAGTGAGTATCTATAGTCCCACAAGGAAAATAATGATAAACTTCCTTTCAAATCTGACACCCAAGAGGGGCGGGGGCGAAGAGATACAGTGTATTTCCCTTTGTGGAGGGCCAAACACCAGACTGTTACAGGAAAACTTTATGTGCTCACTATAGGCATAATACTCAGGTAGACTGTTTTTTGCTGTTTGCAAAAAGCAAGCCAGTCCCTGGCTCGTGGCAACCGTATGCACAATGGAAGGAAATGATTTGTAAGGCTTTTGTGCTGATCTTTGGAAATAGACCTCCATCATTTCTTTCTAGTCCATCTTAGTTTGGAATCTCTGTTGAAACCTGTCCAGCATTTTAGCAATAGTCAAGCCTTCACTGACCAATATGTGGTGGCTACACATAAGGTGCACTGATTTGGAATTGATTCTAAGTCATGGACAGCAAGAACTCTATCATTGAATCACCGCTGTACCTTTGGACATGTTCCAGAAGGCATCTCTAGGCATGAAGGACTTGCTATGTTTATATTTTCCTACTCCAAACCACACCCTTGTCCATAAAGGCGATATACGGCACCTACAAATATCTGCCCTTTACTTCGGGATTAGAATTGCATACATTATCAATTGAAAGGAAGTTTATCATTATTTTCCTTGTGGGACTATAGATACTCACTCCCTGCAACTCAAGTTGTCTTATACCACCACCAAGGTATGTTTATGATCCCTTGATTCTGGGACCTAGAATCAAGATGATCACAAAATGATTCCTGCTTTACTGATCAACAACTGCTGATGGCGGATAAGCTATACTCATGACTTTGGGAGAATTATCAAGTATTTATGTTATCCTGTTTGCTACTTCTGAAGCTAAACAGATTCAAAATCTAACTGATCAGCTTTACCCAGGAATCTATTCTTCCTTGTGGCTGATCCAGTCCAGGTAACTATACCACCATCCATCCAGGTGCTTGTTTGTGGCTTAAACCTAGCTATCATCCTTGTTCACGCCTCTATATTGGGCTCATTGCCAACTCCTTTGAATCCATCTAGTACCCTGATATCCCTGTGGGATTATCTTAGCAAAAGATTCATAAACCACAACCTAGAAAATGCTGACAACCACTTCCCTATCCCCGGTCTTACCATATTTTAATTTATTCTTCACATTTTAAAGCACAGTTTTCTTTTAAAATTGTAATTCCATTACCTCATTGCTGCCCACTTAAAACACTTTTTTTTATTTCCAACACGCTATAAATTAAACTATAAATTTGCCAAATTATTTATTACATTCTTTATTAGCTGGTTGCCTTTGCCAACATAATTTCTTGCGCTTAATGCTTCAGTCATCCTGAATCACTTATGCTTACAAGAAAAAATGGCTTTTCTCATCTTCTGGGTTTGGTTCCTAATCTCAGAGGATCACATTTTTACATCACACAATATGAATGACATCTCTGGAGAAGGGCAAGAGTGAGGAAGGTTTAAGGCAGTTTCCTCAAGTACACTGTTCTCTCCTATTCGAACAAAATCCTTCAAGGACTTGTGGACATGTGAACACACGCTTAACTTCCAATCCTTGGCCTGGATTCCACTGTACAGGGGTCTTCTCTGAGGCCCCAGGGATGAATTGATCACCAACACCAGAGATGTCATACTCATGGATGGTTCCTATAAAGAGCCCATCACACTCTCCTCTGCCTGCTTGTTCATATCAGAGAATCAAGGTTTTTGAGTGAATAGTCACTATCCTCATAGGAGGCAGAGACGATATCCCTTTACTCTTGGCATGTGTAATATTTTACACACCAAATTGCTATTTGCACAACGGAAACTGACCTCGGCCAGAGACAAGTGCACTATTCAAATAAAGCACATTTATTTCCTAACTTTGAAACATTATCCCTTTTCTCATTTTCCTATGTTCACGATTTTTTGTCTGATAAAGGCAACCAAAACAGGGAAATCAGAAATGAAGAGACTTGCCTCCATGTCTTCCTTGACTTGTTCTTGTTGGTCTCTTAATTCTCCAAAAGCATCAATAATTAAACCTGATATGAAAGAAGGACACAATGCAATCTTTACCAATAAGAGAATAATAGTAAAATTTACAGGGCTTTGGTGAATCTTTTGAAGGACAGTGAAGATATACACTCATATGATAAAGCACAATAAAATATAAGTATGTACCTGATACTCTAACTAAAGAAGTGGGGTTACATCTTTTGAGTGAGCAAAACATGCAGTTATTGAAAAAAATTGTTCAAAAATTGAATAATGAAAAAGAAAAATCTTTACTTAGCTTGGCATTTGATGAGGTTATGGTTAGAAATTACAGAAAACTTTTTGATAAAACTTTCCAGTGCTAATTTGAAACTAAATCATTACTGTATTTCTAAACAAATACAGTGAGAAATTTGCCTTTGACATGCTCTCCCATCTTTTTGTAACCGTGCCAAACAACAAACCGTACCTTTTTCCCCTCCTGAGACTCATCAGCTGCACATTTTCTAACAAGTGTTTTATGACTCTGTACAACACATTATTGTTACACTCCAAATGGGCATAAAGAATGAATTATTAGTCCTTTAAACCTGTCTTTGCACTTTACCAGAAAAAATTAAGGACCATTTTACATCTGTGGAAGTTAACCAATAATGCCACATTTATAGACATTTGTTTTAAGCCAGGATAAATGTTTAGTATAAGCGGAAAAAGACAATGGAAGTGATTTTTCTGAGTAAGAAAAATATCATCCTTCAAGTTGCTCTGTATTAAAAGAAAGAATTAGTGGGTGAGTTCAGCACCATGGTTTTAAGTGAGCACTCTCACTCCACCTGCCTGGGTTTGGGCTCTAGTCTAACACTTTTTAGCCATGTACTTTGGCCAAGTTACTTATACTTATTATGGAGAACACTGCCATTCTCATAAGGTTGTTGTGAGCTAAGAATGTGTCTGTAAGGTACTAGGCACCCAGCAATAATTACAGTTTTATAATTATTTATGGTATGCTGATTATGCGGCACTCAGCAGGGACAAATCTCTGCTATAATCTATGGGTTTATACTGGTTAATTCTTGGAAGAAGAACTCCAGAACTTTCTTCCTTGTCTGTAAATAACTGGCTGCAGATGGTTATAAATGATGGGACTCTCACTAGTCCCATAACTTATACATTTATATAATTTCCATTTTATAAATGTATAGGTGAAATGGCTCACCCACAAAATGTTAGGGAGGCAATTTAAACCCTGGTCTCAGTGACTAAAAGTGCTTCCCCCACTGTATCACTTGAAAATAAAGACAAAGGAAAATTGGATGTATCTTTCCCTTATTGCAGAACCTCAAGCATCATTGCTTATTCTCCATAGATTTCACATTGAAGAAATACTGAAAGGAAATGTGTTATTTGGTAGAAAAAATTAATAATTCCTACCAGCTGATGTGGTTTTCACTCCTGTTCATGGGGTTGTTCTGCAAGCCAGACTAGAACTGTACATCACAAGGTGTATTGGCAGCGGAGTGCATTCATGAATCCAATACTAGATTTCTTTTTTTTAAATTTCTCTGAGCATGTTGCTTACCTTGTATTATGGCCAAGAGAATGACAATGACAAAGAAGAAGAAGGTAATGTCAAAGATGATTCGATAAATCTCATATTCATCTCCTGCCGGGTCTTCGATCTCATCACCAATGCCCCCACCGGCACGTACTCCAACGTACATGTGGAACATATAGCACTGGAATAAAGGAGGCGATACAAGTTCTGGGAACAGCACTCAGCTTGCACTTGACAAAGGTAACAACATCCTCTCCAGCTCTTCATCCCCACTCTGAAAACACTGAGGTTCATTCACTGCCTGGTCCCTCTTTACTTAGTAACACCCATCATTAGGCTGGCCAATGCACAGCTCTAATGTTTCTAAGAAAAATTCAACACTGAATTCTCTGCTTAATGCCACTGTCTCACTTAGCGGAGAGTGGGAACTAACTAGTTATGCTGACTCCAAAGCATCTGAGGTAATAAGGTAATTACATTCAGGTGCACAAAATTAAATTTAATTGTATCACTCAATCCCTTGGCTTATCACAAGAGAATAAAAGACCAATGTATAACAAAATGAAACCTCAGAAATTAAGCTAGAAAAACAGCCTCATCCACCCATGTAAACAGGACATGACACCCAATGCTGAAACAGTTGTCTCTACATTTCTATCTGGAATTAAAAAGGAAAACAAAAGGGAGAGGCAGAGATAAGTCAGTGACTAACTGTTTAAAGCACAGACAACTGGTATTATTACCAGGGCAGATAAAGGGCTCTGGCAAACATTGGAGCTTCATTTCTCAGCTGCAACACTGTTGATATTGGAAATGACTTGATGGTACAACAAAAGAAAATCTTTATTGGGAGGCTGTCCTGCGCATTTTAAGATTATCAGTTGAACATCATCTTTGGCTTCTATCCAGTAATGCCCAGTAACATTCCAACCTACAGTGACAGCTCAAAATGTCTTCATCCATTGCCTCTGGTTCCCCGGAGGACAAAATCACTCCCCGCTCTACTTAGCACCACTGCCTTAAAAATATTCAAATTCTCTTTATTCGAGACAAGCTCAAACTCATTTTATGCCTGGCGATTTAACCACACTCCATGTTTCTCAATTGATTTTCACTATTCCAAAACAATCCTCCACTGTATCCAAGTTAGTCTCTTGCCCTCCTTCAAATAAATCATTTCCAATTTTCTTTGTTACACATTTTCTTCCTTGCAATGTCATTTCCCATGCTGATGCCATTCATACTCTTTCTTTAGAACCTAAATTAATAGGTCCTGAGGCCTGTGAATATTCCACACACTGACTTACACAACTGACCGTCACCTATTAAAAAATTTTTACTTACTACCTAATATAATGAAGGAGAAAAAGGCCTTGGAACGGTTCCTTCCCTGTCTTAGAGAGACACCATACTCACTGGTTTTCTTCTTTATTCTGGAAATATTTCCCTCAGTCTCCCGTGCTAGCTGTCCTGTCCTTATCTTTTCAGGAACTCCAATGTCTCTTGGTTCCATGACCAAGTTCTTTATTGTACTATGACAACCCCTTTGTAAACATCCCTAGTTTGGTAACTTTTAGGACCAGGTGCCTCTAGTGTTTCTGGGTGGGGCAAATAGTTAAGTTCACAGATGATAACCAAAAAAAAAAAAAAATGGATGTATAAGAAGCCTTGGAAGAAAGGCCTGGCAATATTATACTCCTGAAATGCAAGCCATTGAAAAACCCATAGAACATGTTTCTCCTCTGACACACACAGGGTTGTGTGAATCAGATTCCAGTGGATGGCAGCTGGTTGAAACTAATTGCCATTGGATTGTTCCAACTCACAGAGACCTTGTAGGACAGAGGACTGATCCACCTACTGAATCAGTCTCTGCAAGCCAATTCTTACACACTGGCATTGTGACAGCACCAGTGACTAACCTTATCTAGCTAATTTTCCTCACTGCTTCCTGCTGACAAATGCTTTTGAATTATAAATGTGGGAAGTCAATTCCCACATACATAATTTGCTACAGGAAGGAGACTGTTGCATAAACTGTTAATGAGTAAGTACTATGATGAGTTTCAGACTCATCAATCAGACACTTAATAGCTTAATGTGAGCCTATCCCTAAGAGACCAATTCATGCTTAATGTCTGATATGAAACATTGAGGACAAGGTGATAGAATTACGTGAAATCACTAAAGTGAATGGTTTCTTCTTTACAGACTACTCAATGGCTATCTAAGCCAGTATCACCTGGTAATATCCCTATCTTCATTCTATGATAGCTTTGGGAATTTGAGGGAGTATATTTCAATAGCAGATTTGTAGCTATGTGAAAAGTAGATAAGCTTGTGTTTATGATAACTTTTAGACTTGAAAAGTGATAAAGGATAAAACATACAATTTACAGTGTAGATTTTAATACTGCTTCTTTTAATCTTCTCTGTCACTACCTGGCTATCCCCAGAATGAAGCAGGTGGGTGGCAGTTTGGTGGAATATCTGGCCACTCCCCACAATTAAGGGCTGCTGGGATGTCAGCTTTTACACAGACACTTTTATGCCGACATGAAAATCCCTTCATCCTCCTTCCTTTTCATATACTTATCTTAAACATGAAAATGAAAGCTGTAAAATGGGTGGGGAAGTAATTTCTGGGAAACAAAGGATATACTTAGTTTAGAGGCCATCCATAGTCAGGCAGGAGCATAATGTCGTTAAGTGCCACAGAGCTGATTCCAAGTCATAGTGACCTTATGTACAACAGAACATAGTGACCTGACGTCCTGTGCCATAATCACAATCGTTCTTGAGTTTGAATTCATTGATGCAGAAACAGTGTCCATCCATCTTGTCCCTGGTTTTCCTCTTTATCACTGCCCTGGTACTTTATCCTTCTGCAGGGATTGGTCTCTCCTTATAATGTGTACAAAAGAAGATGCCTAACCCTTCATAAATTGGGGAGAAACTTATGGTAACACTCAGGATTTAATATTCTCTGGCTTCCTCTTTCATTCATCTCCTAACCTGATTTGTTCTGGAGTCAGTGGTGGATTTCTGCTAGTTTGCACTGGTTCAGCACAACCAATACTATTTGTTGTGTGTGGAAAAAGTGACACTTGTTATAATGGTTCTTTCCATGGTATGTGGAGGAACCTAATATGTAAATCACAAAGTTACGTTTCTTACTCATATTTAATGTTCATCTGTGCAACAGCACATTCTAAGCACCTGTAGTAATGTTTGTTCCAGTCAGAGATAAAAAAAAAAATAGAACTATGCTGGAAGTATTCATTTATTCATTTGATGAAATACTATATTTTTATTCCCTTGAATTTGTTACTCCAGTAAATAAATGTATAATGTAAAGAAAAACGTGCCAAACATTCAAAGCATTACATGCTGCCATTCCTTTCAGCTTTGTGTTAAGCTCTAGATTCCCACGAGCTATTATAAGTGAATTATGCAATTCTGGAATTGTTCAAAGAACTAAAAATATTGTCAGAACAAATGGTGTAAGTTCAGGAGAAGTGGAGAGTGATTTTCCAAAGATGAACATAACATGTTCAGAGCAGAGAAGTCGCCTGTTTCTACTATATCCATCACACGCACTATTGTCTGACTGGCCTACCTCTAAAGGCATGGGATCCTACTCCTACAGTGAAAAGATAGCTAAGGACAAATCACACAGCTGTTGATGCTTGGATAAAAGCAAAAACTACTGCAAGTGAGGATGCCAATAAAGAAGCCATATGGAAATACCTTAAATAACAGTTTTATTGTTTTTTGTCAGGTATTATTTAATATCTTTTCATTGATATTTTAAAACTCTTTCTTACAACAATATAGTTTTGTGCATGTATCTCTTTTATTGTTTTTATTTGAGTATTAACTGTATGAAATAATAAATTACCTTTTGGTATATATTATTTCAATACGTAGATAGTGAACCGATTGTTAAATTATTTGAATCTCATTGCTGTCTGGGGCTAGTCTTTTTATGCTGCTTTTAGGGAAAACTGATGGCCAAATTTTGGTGAGTTGGTGAAGATCCTTACAGAACCTTAATCTGGAAACAGAGAATGGGGTCAGGTAAAATCAATGACTTAGAGGGGTTACTTGAGCAGGCTTCTTCCAGGCGGCGAGTGGGTGTCAGGCATTCATCTCAGTCACCGGGAAAACTGTGGTGATGTGCAACTTCTACAGATTTTCTAAAAACAGCTCTTGTGATTCCTACTTGCATTTGAGGTAAAGGGCTGCTCACTCTGAGAGGAACATCCTGATAGCTTTTAAATCAGGCTCTCTGGCTATCTCTTTGGCATTCAAGCTATAACAATCTTTACACACTCCACTTTAAATCCGTTTTCACTTTCTCCTCTTATATTCTTGGAGTTATAACCCAAGTTAGTTTACTTAATGTTGTTAGAAAGATCCCCCTTACAAATTAGGCAGTTAGCCTAAGTTACTCTACTTAATGTGATCCCTATGGAAATTTTATAACTTACTACATTGCTCAAATGCAGAGCGGTTGGATGCAAATGTCACTTCAAAAGGCCAGACAATGCTGTACAAACATAAAACACGAACTCATTGCCATTGAACCCATGCCAACTCATAGCAACCTCAGAGGAGAGTTTCTAAGACTCCAACTCCTTACAGGAGTAGAGAGCCCCATTGTTCTTCCGGATAACGCTGAGAGTCTTATCTACTTGTTCTAACCAGTCTAGAAAGGCATCCTGAGACTGGCCTAAGGTTTAAGGAATCTTATTGTTCTGTTTGCTTGCTCACAGAAAACAGTTGTTCTCTGGTTACCCTGAAACCCACGTTAATGTAAACTGTATGTGACTCACGACATTGTGAATTCCAAAGCCCAAAGTATATGTTCTCTGTGTATTCTGATTTCAAACAGGACACCACAAAGTCTGTGTGTTTTGCATTGCTGTGGTCTCGTCATTGGTATACCTTCTAAATAAAAAAGCATCTCTCTCCTCTCTCTTCTTGACTTGGAGTGGGTAACTAGTTGCACTGCTCCAGGGTAAACTATCTGGATTTCAGGTGGCAACCCTGGATTAAATTGGCAATTCTATCAGAATAATCCTTCTGGTTTAATTAGATTTTCAAGTACAAAACAACTTATCAAAAAAAAGCGAATCACCATTAAGATTGCAAAGTTGCAGCGAGAGCACCACGTGC